TATTGGGAGGTCTAAGAAAATGTTGTATATGCTATTTTGTTCCAACAAGGTTTGGAAATACATTTTATTTCATTCTCAAGAATTGGTACAAAGGAACAAAAAACAGTTGCACTAAAAAACAAAAAATGTTAACAAAGACAGTTATATAAAATATTAATAAATAATTGTCGAATTAAATTGTTGTCAATCAGTCAACATTACATAAATGACCATGTTTTTAACACAATGTTTTCAATAATTGGTTTAAGAGAAAAACATTGTTGAATTCAGTTCACCATATCGATACATATCCTTTATAAATTGTCTGAAATGGAAATGATAACTCATTTGTTCTCTCTCTTGAGTAATGTGGAACAGTTTTGTAAAGATCTGCCAGGCCCAATTTGTAATGATTATTTTGACGAGCATACATGTACATTTACAATTAGGTGTTGCAGCAATAACCCAGATGCCAGTAACTAATGACAAAATTTTATCTGTCCAATAAAAGGAAAGATAGACCCTATTTTATACCATGGGGTCTTTAGGGAATCTCCCCGACCTAGATTTTCAAAGAAATACAATTTTCAAAGTTGATGAACAATTTTTGAAACCACATTTTTAGATGTCGTTTTAAATGTAGATTTCAGATACTATATCCCTTTGTCTGAAAGTTGATTATTTCATGATGTTAATCAAAATTATTTCTACTCGCATCTAGTCTATTGCAATTTTTTGTGAAATTAGTTCACAGCTCGGTATTTATCCTCATTAGTGTTTGTTAGACTTGTGAAAAAAGTAGTAATTTTCCAATTAAAAAATATGTTAACACGGCTTTCCCTAATTTGCAAATCACAACGGTGCATTCGATTGAAAAGATAAAACCTCTGAGTTTAATCTCATATCAGACGGAATCGATGACTTGGTTAACAATTATATGACATTGACTTCGATATAGCATAAAACCAATAAATCAATGGTTCTATTATTTTAACACTTAGACAATACACGTTTTGTCTTATTAAACTGAGTTGTAAAATTTGTCAACTTTTGTCGCAAAATCACCGAGCCTTATTTGAACAAGTAAAGCTAAAAATCATATGTAATGGCCTGTTAAGAAACGCCTGATAATGCAGATTTGAAACTGCGTTTTTCTTAAATTTTAGGTAGGCTGACAGTCATAAATACCGAATTTTTGGAAGTTTACAACTGTAGTTGAACATCCGTGAATTCACCGTGTCGGGGAACATAGTTCACCAAAATAGACACGAATATTCTCTCATTGTTCGCTGATTTTTTGAGATCCCATTTTAATAATAACGGAACTTTGAATTGAACATTCGATTATCAAGAAACTGAACGACAGTACATGTATGGAGAGCCGTAAGGGTATTCCATGGTACAGTGCATTTAGGTACGCGTCTCTCATCTGTTTCAAATAACCCGATATGTCATTATATCAATTAATTGATTGTAACAAAAAGTTCAGGGAAATATAAATTTATATAAAACTCGTAAGTGGAATATGGTGATATAATAGAGAATTTTCGTTATAAGTTGTTTCAAAAACTTATACGTATACTTATAGTTTAAAGGGTCTTGTCGAACTAAAATCAATTCAAATTGATTTTCATAATCTGTACCAAGTGGGGCATAACTATTCCCGATATAGTCAAGCTCCATCATCAACTAGGGACTGCGAATACAATGTCCTTTGCTAGTGTCAATTATGAACACGATAAACTAAACGCTAGTTGACGGGTCCTTGTAGTGAACGATAAACAAGACCCTTTAAAGTGAATCACTACACGAACGAGTCGATCATTTCAAAGTTCTCATGAAATTATAAGGTCAATTTTTACGTTTTTACGTATAAAAGGGCCTTTATACGCAGATTATAAACTTACAGAGTTGGATCTCCGCGTAGTATATGTGTGGACCTACTGACCAGAATGGCTTATAAAAATTAATCGGCTGAATAGGCATAGTATCCAATCAAACAGCTCGACTCATTCATTAGCTGAACTAATTCTCCCTTCGTTATTTCTACAAGGTGATTCAAAACGATCATCTACAAAAAATATATTTGAGAGTAGATAAATCTGTAAAACCCGTGTGCTATATCAGCCTATTTGATTCTAGAAAACACATATGACACAACTAAACATGCTTTACATCAAGGGGGTACGGATGGTATGCCATTGGCCCTTTTTATTACCGTCCTAGGAGATATTTCCCGACGAATTAGGAAATTATGAAACACCTTGTTTATTGGGTTTATAAGTATACGTATAAGTTTTTAAAAACTTATAACGAAAATTCTCTAATAACAGATTATTGTTACTCCGTATACACAGTAGTAATTCGTACGGTAATTTCAGAATATAAGTATATTTCACTAAATAACTAGTAGTCATACCTGTTATTTTCTTAATTTTTCATAGTGTTTAAGATAGCATATAGAAATGCAACACATTTATTTTTTGTATCTAAGAGTTTGTTGACTGTTTTTAATCTAATATTTTATTTTCCCTCATTTTTATGTCATTAGGTGTTCATTGTTCGACCTTACCCGACCGTATCTCATTATTGTCATCCAGGAATACAACACAACGATCAGCAAACCTAGTAAACTCAGTATTATAAACTTTAATTGCAAAAGAACTGTTTAATCATCTAGCGTTCAACCCAGGTGAAGCTTTAGATGTTGTCAATTTTATTCAACAGCATACAATAGTTATTAAAAATCGTATTTGCTAATTTTACTTATTTATCAAAATTAACCTAGGCGAACCCTTAGATGTTTTCAGTTGTATTCATAGTACACAACGTTAGTTATTAGACATTATATTTGCACAATTTTGCTTATTTATCAATGACATTGAGATACCTTTTGTAGCTTAGTTGGTGAAACGCGTTGGTGACATGTACTTAAAGAGAAATGACGCATGGATGGTTTCTGAAATCCAGGTCTCTTTTTATTTTAATTATAAGATTTTACATGATGTTTAGATGGGATACTTTATTTGAAAAACATCTGTGAATTAATTTTAATATAAATTACAATATTTACATACGACAGAATTCTGTTTATTATAAAATGTACATTCCGCTTCTTAAGTTTGGAATATTTCCTCCCTTACGTTTCAAATCCTGTTTTAAAACGTGTCTGAATTTTTATCTGGATAACCTTTTAGGAGAAATGTAAAAAAAAAGTGAAATGGTTGGTTGACCGAAGGCTCAAATAGAAAGTTAAAATACAATGTTCAAATTGGGCTTCACTTCTGCAGGGAAGTGTATGATTTACAATAAATTTATAGCAATATTTATGAAGCTACATGTAACATTAATGTACAATTAATTATTCTTTACAATATATGCCATAATCTGATGTGACTAAAGTGCTGATCGTGTCATATTTAACATTATGATATACTTTGAACTACTGTATGCACACAAATAATTTTATAATTAAATGCATATGATACTTCAGTACATAAAGGTCATACTTACAGTAAATGAAAGCGTTATGATTAATAACCTAATAAAAATGACTATACTAAAAGAAAGTTTTAATTGCAAGATCTATAGATCTATATGGATTGCGCAACTTGCCTATTACCCATGATTGAACGGTACTGTTTGTTATTCTAAATTAACCACCTTGGTCTTGAAACTAAACTTCATTTTTATGTCTCTACCTTTTGTTATGGTCTCCGATTTTTTGGCGGCGGGTGGTGATCGGCGGGTGGCGATTGGCGTCTGTAACAAATTCCATGTAACTTCCAAGCAATAACTTAACAAATACTGTTTAGACTGACTTCAGTTTTTTTAAAATCATCTACAATTTCTCAAAAGTTCAAATCTGACTTTTTATTTAAGGTTTGACCTTCAGTGACCTTTTCAATGTCAAAAAGGTCATTTTTCAACGTGCTTCAAATTGATCAATTGTTTCGAAATCACCTACATGTTATCAGAAGTTCAAATCTGACATTAGAAGTGAGATTTGACCTTCATTGATCATGACCTTCTCAATGTAAAAAAAGGTCAAAAAGGTATTTTGCTTCAAATTGATCACTTCTGACTATAAATTTGACCTTCAATGATATTCTCAAGATCAAAAAATTTTTGACCTTCATTGACCTTCTCAAGGTCAAAAAGGTATTTCTCAGCTTGCTACAAATTGACCATTAAAATCATTCTACAAGTTCTCAGAAGTTCAAATCTGACTTTAGATTTGAGATTCCGCCTTCAATGACCTTTTCAGGGTCAAAAAAGGTATTTTTTCAACTTGCTTCAAATTGACATTTTTTCAAAATTATCTGCAATAATATTATGAGCAACTAGGTGGTGACATTTTGACTTTGTCACGTCAATGCCTTGTATCAACTTTTCATTATACCATATTTTTCACAGCCCTTATCCCATATACCATTATCCATTATATTCATACATCTGATCCCATATAAAGTAGTTCTATTTATGCCATAGATACTAAATATGCACGGGGATAGCAAGATAATTTTGATATGCGCCACTAAAACCGTGTCCGACTGATGACGTGATATCCAATCGTATTCGACGAATACTATTTGTTCATTAGTTCTGAAATTGTGTAAACAATGTTTTCATGCAATCATTTTGTGTCCTGTTCAGTTTGAGTAGATACTTAAATACTGTGAAACTATAGGATAAATATGATATTCTATGATATTCTCGGTCTATTATTTTTATCCACTCATGGACATCATCGCTGCGCCCACTGGTGGAGATATCCACTCATAGATAAAATTATATCCCTCAAAGATCATAGGATATCCTCCATATACCCATTCCCCTGTTGTAGCTTATAAATATTTGAACAAATCTTATTTATTGGTTTGTGAAAAGGCCTTCATGTTATGCAAATCAAAATACTATTCCAATTAATTGCCTTAATTAATTGTTATTCCAATTAGAATTCTGAATAAATGACTTTTTCGCGTGATGAACCATTTAAGTTTGGGATATGTGAGTAAATATATAAACATCATTGACGTAAAATATAATAATGAGGAAAATAATATTGGTTTATTCAATTGAATTTATTAAATACTGATTCGAGGTCGATGGCATACATAATAATCATCTAAATTGACGTTAATACCACTAGTTCTACCGCTACACCTAAGAACATAACTATCAGAGTAAAATTTCTTTTTGATAGTAAGTGGCCACAGGACAGTCCCAGGAACACGTGAGTAAGTATTATTGATAATACAAGGGGATTTTGTTTGCCCTGAGATATTGATGTGGATCTTAAGTTGGAGTTTTTCATTATTTTGAAAAGTTTACCTTTTCCGGATTACTTACATTAATTTTTAGGCAGAATCAAAGATATACGCAATGTTTAGGGCGGATAGTGAATTATGCTTCGTTTACCAATAAAAAAATATATATATATTGTCTTCTTCAAAAGATCCATGATATACAGAGTGGGACAAAAATGACCACATTTTTAAGAATTGCCTTAATCTATAGAAGGTAAAGCAACAAAATGAGAAACACAATTAAAATCGGAGCTATTTTCAAATGTTAATGGTTTATGCATGGAAAATGGAAATTGTATTCAAATGGATTGGTTTGACAATTTGCAAAGTTTTCATTCTTAAGCTGTTTTGCTGTTCATACAAATATTTGACAATTAATTATACTATAGATAATAATGTAATCAAGTTATCAATAAATTTGTTAAAAAATAGTGCACATAGTAAATATGTACGTAAAAAGAATTAGTTTCTTGATTATAAGGTAGTCTGTTATATATGCAAAAGAAAGATGATTTGATTTCAAACAAAAGCATGTATAACGCTTCAATTTAAGGCTTTTTGCATAGTAACAAGATAATTCAATTTACATCGGGGAAATTTATGTCAATCTCAAGCATGTTTTACACAAATTGCCAATTCGTAAACTACCACTGTTGACAGCAAAGTTCCGGTCACTAATTCAAGAATTGTTCCGACCAATTATCTTTTATAATATTTCGTATGGTACGGGTACAGACAATTCTTGCGTTGGCTTAATTTTCCCGGTGTGGTCATTTTTGCCCATCCTGTATCATTAGGTAATGAAAATAAATACGTAATATGCATGGTGAATGTTTTAGTAATAAATGAAAGATTTCAAGCGTTTTTTAAATACAAGGGGTAACCAATATATTCTAATAAAAATATTCTCGTTTTGTGATATTTTGATTTATTCCTCTTATTGTTTCGGAACATACTCGTAGAGATTATTTATACATACGCTAAAATATTATTGCTGTAAGTTACATTTTGAGATAATATAAGATTGTCATGGTAACCCGTGTAAGGGTAGCCAGGTCAGTTTTAATCATTTTAAAGCATGCGGAAATCCTACATTTTGGTAAATTTGTAGAAATGTTTGATATTATTGGAATATCATTTGTTGCTAAAATATTTAGCATCGGAAATCTAAAGATTTCATTACTCAATGGCACGTGTGTCCTAGTACATGAGAATAGTCTTTGAGTTCAATAAACGTTTATTCCTTTCGTGATGAGAATCGAACGCGTCGTCGTAATCTAGCCATCCACGATAATTCATCGATAAATCACAATACAAATAGATATCATCTTTCGAGATTCGTTATGATATTTTAAGTGGCATTTAAACATATTTGCATTGTCACCATCATCACTTGAATGATCGATGGTATCACATTTGTTATCCTGATCATCGTGTACTACATTTTCCACAGCGCATTGCGATAAGCATCACAAATGTCACATTGTTCCCTTAATTGATGTTTATCAAAGACAACGTGTAGTTTTACTATTAAATTGAATTATGTAATTTATCATTATGATATATCATTTTTATTTCGGTTCACATTGAGTTTAAGGACACAGACACACGTTTCTTGTCAAAATACACTCCCCTCCATAAGTTTGGCTACAGGCAAAATGTAACTGCCAATCACCATGGTTACAAACGGCTCCAAGGAAAGATATAATTTCAGATCTGTAAAGTATATATGTTATAAATCCAAAATTTTAAATTTTATTTTTTCATCACCTATAAGTCAAAATTAAAACTCTACACATGCGCGCAAGGAAACGACCTCGGGTTTCCAATAATATATTGTTCTTATAGCAACAGTGGTTGCCATGGTAACCATATCAACAATATAGGCTGAAATATAATTCTAAATAATTTCCCAGCATGTTCTCTGTTTAACAGGGCTTGAATTTATGTTAAATTATATTTCTTCACCATTGTTATTATTTGTTTGAATCCATATTAAGTTTTCACTTCTATTGATGGGCCTAATGAAAAATCAAATGAATTCGAATATCACTTAGAAATGATTAAAATAATGCATTAAAAACAAAACAATCTATAATTGAGTAAAACAAAACGAAATGGCTATAAGTACATGTAAGTTATTGGTGTCATTTTATGCAAAACTTGGGATTATAGTAGGAAATAATATATTTTGGGATTTTCCCTTATTTTCTCTCATTGATGCACTATGGACAGCTGAAGAGTCTTTGACCACCACTTATTGCTTTTTTAACAAAACTGCTTGACAAATGAATTCAACCCAAGTATTGATTCATGGCTTATGATTAATGACTCCGAGATTATTATACAAAAAGTGAAAAGTTAGATTGGAAAATGTTCACGTTTTTAAGTTATTTAATTACACACTTACCCTATATAATAATAGGTGTTGGGTTTTGTTCATTTTGATTCAGTTGATTCTTGATTGTGAAGTGTGGTAGGTAGGCACGGATACAGTTAAAAAACGAACGTCTGAGTTATTTGTAAGGGCATGAGGAAGTGGTCAACAATAATCTATTGGCAGAAAAATTGATACATAATTTGTCTCTACAGGGCGGGCAGAAACAACGAACCTGAAATAAATAAGGAAACTAGGAAAGAATCCGTGGTCAAACAAGTATATCAAAAGATCAAATTGCGTTTTCGATCAAGTTTTTGGGATTCGCGATCTCGCATAAATCCCCACCGAGGCTTGATTTTTATACTACAATTGTTCTATCTATACCGAATGAAAGATGGACATTAAAAAGTGCCATTTAGAATTGGTCCTAAAATATGTTACTATTTGAGCTTTCCTTAAAATGCCTTTCCATGAAAAAATATTTTTCAACAATCATATACATCCAAGAAGATGTCAAGCCGAGATATGTAAATTATATGTATTGAAAAGTATTGATGAATAAAAAAGTATTGATGAATAAAAAAAGTGTAGGAAATTACCCTATCTACCTTGTTTTCTCATTTCTGTTGAAAAGTTGACATATTCTGGCCCAACCTGTAATATTATGTGTGATAACGTGAGGAAATTATGTTGATCGGGTATAAAATGACATTCAAATGATACTTGGCACATACTCTTAATTGACATTTGGAATCCAATACTTGTTTTCAAAAACAAAAGATCAAAGAAGTACTTTTAATTCATCGTGTTTGTTCCACAGTATAAAAAGGATCAACTCATAAGATTTTGAATTAGTTGGACTATATTTTACAGATAATGAGGATGCGACATATCACCTTTGTTGCGCTGTGCATGCTAGCAGTTCACGTGCGCTCTCAAGATGGAGACCCGGATGAACCCGAGGCTACAGTAATCGATCCACCTTCACTGCCTACACTGCGCGATCCTAGTAAGTAGCCATGTTTTTTAATTTTGGGCACAACATTTTGTAGGGCCACAATTAGTTGGCCTTTTTGGGTATCACTTGGCCGTTTGGGGCCTTATTTTTTAATTTTAGGCCACATTATCAAAAAGGCTGTACTTTTTCAAAATTTGGGCACACTTTTGGGTTATAAGGGACCGGAATTATTTGTTTATGACTTGAAATGTGTCCCCTTTTTTGCTCCTGGATCCGCCAATGTTATAAATTAATAGTACATACATTTCCCATTTCCATCCAAAAGTTTGGCAACTTTAGCTCCCTCTTGAGCCACTTGTTAATGCTTGCATTTTTATTTACACAACCTGTAATGAAAATAATTATGATAAAAGTGGAGATGTAATTTGACTTTGTATTTTTGCTGGATTGATATTCTATCATATAACGTGCGGCAAACTTACCATTTCCCATTGGTTTAGATTGAAATGTCGATTTTCAAAAATTCATTAGATTTATTACCAATTTCCGATCTATTGCAGTTATTGAAAAACACTGAGAAAAAAGATATTGAAAATGTTATCAATTTTCAGCCCTCAAAACTTTTGTTTATTTTTTATATATACAGGGTGCCCGGAAAAGGAGACCATTAGAATGGACAATATCTCCTAAAATAGACAAGAGACATCAATGAAATTTTGCTCATTTAAGACCAAATATATTGGTATATGACGCTGGGGGTTTCAATAAGATCCGTCTCCTTGTTCAGGCGTTGTCATCATTTACATTACATGTTCCAAGTGGCACCATTTAGCTTGAGGTAGACCTGGACATTCAGCCCTTGTTATGGCTTTACATTTGGTAGTGATTACCTTATCTTGGTCAGCAATTTTCTAAGGATGTTTGCGATGATCTTGGTGAAGTTGACAACGCATATATCAACCTAGAAGAATGATATAGCCTAAGATATACTACAAGAAACTATTCCATGTAGATTCATAAGTTATCTTCTTCCAGCATGCGCGGATATTATGCTGATCATTGACGTATCAGCGTCTATCTCCGAGGACAATAGGAGGAGAGTTGTGAGAACTGCAAAGAGAGTTTACGAGGAACTTAATGTACAGGTAACGAAGAAAAAAATTCCTGATCTAGTTCAAATTATTCTAGTAAATGTACAGAATACAATTTTCACTAATCCAGAGGTTGCAGTTAAAATGTGTTCAAGATCATTGTTCCTTCTTGCATTTTGATCGCGCCATCTTTCTGATTTGCAACTTGCAATATGCTCTTTTTTAGTCTCCTAAATATTATGCAATGCAATACCTAGATGACCATTTCATTGCCCCATTCGTTCACTAAACTAATAGGTCTGTAATGAGTCTGATAGCCAAGAGAGGTTCTAAATGATCCCACTTAGATAGCAACACAAAAGAATGAACTGTAGTTGTTTATCTTAAAGAATATGCAGTTGTTACAAAGAAGAATGCATTATTTTTTGTATTGTTGCTATTTTTATTACATGAAAACATTATTCAACAAGGGGTCTCAAACATCTTCAAAAGTAAAATGGTATTGAAAGTCTAGTTTTGAAGATATCAATTTTCGATGACCAAAATTATGCTGAAAACAATGGATAGCATGAGTTTTCCCAATGGGAAAATATCATGGGAAATGTGGTTTTTAACTTTATCGCATTTCAATACCCATCCCCTTTTCAGAAGTTATTAATATAGTGTAGAAGAAACTTTTGATACATTTAAATTGAGAAAAACAAGATCCTCTTTTTAGAAAAGAAGCCTTATATTTTTTAAAAAGTGACAAGGTGGGGTCCTAATTCACAATTTTCAGAGAGTTGGATTGATATTTTACTATCATGGGGACTTCACTTTAAAAAAACACTGTATTTATACCCAGAAAATACTCATGGTGAAAGGTATGACTGTTTAAAATCACTTGACATACTGCACATGGACCTTTAATATGATAACAAAATTTCATCAGTTTATTTTTAATTCGGTCAATTAAATCGCAATGCCCCCATAGAGCATTCAAACAGAAAAAGTAATGCAGCGTAAAATACGAAAGGAAAACATCAATAAAGTACTAATTTGAAATGTATTTGTTCATGATAGCCTTTAAAAACAGGTACTTGTCCGCGGTTTAAACAGGAGAACATATCATTAGTGTCAAATCTCTGACTTAATTGATTTCAAATAAACTGTATACTGTTAATGAACGCAATATGCTTCATTAAATTTTGCATGTTTTATGTGTCCGGAAGTTTCATTTTCTGTAATAAATCAACAACAAAAATGTACTTTTTGTATTGTTCTTTTTCTCTTTCTATAGTACTTCATGGACGTGGATCTAATTAAATTAATTTTGAATCCGTTTTGCGAGTGTTATTTTTCAACTGCAGTGTCGGTAAAAGAAAATATAATTCTTCCATAGTTCCATATATTTTATAATATATGCCCTGGTTAAGTATAAGTGACACAAAAATTCCACCCACTTATTTTGGAATAACTTTCTCAATAATGAAGGAATATTCATGAAATTTATGACGAAGAAAATTAGTTGGTGTCATTTTTTGTGTCACCCTGTATAAAGTAATGAAAAAATGAGGAATATAAGGAAACACCGATGTGAACAATATTGGAGATACTAAGGTGACAATGGAATGTATTACTACATTATGGACATTAGGGGCAAAAAATATATAGAACCTATATCGCTTTTAGGCGTTATATCCCTATATCGGGTGTTAGGCTGGCCAACCCTTCTGTATGTCCCTCATTTTTATATCTGGGATGTTTGGGGTTTCAAATGAAAGTCGAAACTCCAATAGTCAAGCGGCAGATGATAGATCTGGGATCAAGGAAACTTCATTATTATATCAGAGCATATTGCTAGTTGCAAAACATCAAACAATCATCGTTTAGGGTTTAATGGTCGACGAAACAAAATAATAAAATAAAACACTAAAAAGTCCGTACGCATGTTATTTTTACACCATCCGTATCGCAGAACTCCAGACATCGTCCAATATTTTCCTTGTCAGGAGTCGTGCGTATGAAGGATGGCTTTAAACTGTTCTTTTGTAGAATATACGAGGGGGTGGCGCTAGTGTCCGCGTTGGTGCGATCACGTTCAGAAAGGAAGTGAAACATAAGTTCTTCCTGTCTGACTTTACATCAAAAGGTATGTACCGTCAATACCTTCACTTTCAAACTTAATATTATCATTTGCAATTAATCTAACTACGATGTGCGTTATTGTTATTAAATCAAAGAAAGGGATTTTCTAATAAGGTTGTAATTCATAATTGTGGAGATGCATTTGAGTTTATTTTGGAAATATTTTTAATCATAAATCGAAAAAATACATAAAATAACTTTTAAACTAATGAGTATTTTTACTTGTTGACTTTAATTGGAGAGAAATTGAGACTAGTCTTGGATACTCTCAGAATTAGTTTTGTTTTCAAATTTCCATTTATAGACGACATAGCTAATGCAATTGGAGGGATTGATACTTTTGACGACGGCCCATACCGAACTCACACCCATAAAGCGTTCGACTCTGTCATGCGTGAATACTTTATACCAGAACGAGGTGATCGGTCCGGAAACTTCCCTAATGTCGTTCTATTTTTCGGCGATGCTAAGACGTACACTCCAATACGGTTCGAGAAAGTTCGTAAGTTTCTCAACGAGCTGCACAACAGAACTGGAGAAGAAGCCATTCACGTTGACCTAATTGTACTACCTTCTGAGTAAGTACACTGTCCTTTCTAATATTGGACACCTGAAAATCCCAATTGGATTAGACCTCGTCACAGTGTCTCCGTTTTAAGTACACTCTCCTCGATAATATTGGTATCAGTGTTCTATTTGGATAGTGCATATAGTGCCATTGGACCTCATCGTACATGTGTTATCATCTGAGTAAGTATCACTCCCCTTCATAATATTAGCAATGCAAGTCCCGATTGGATTGGACCTCATCGTAGTGCCCTCATAGTAAGCACACTCTCCGTCATAATATTGGCAATCCAAGTCCCGATTGGATTGGACCTCATCGCATTGCATTCTTAGTAAGTACACTCTCCGTCATAATATTGGCAATCCAAGTCCCGATTGAATTGGACCTCATCGTACATATATCATCTTCTGAGTAAGTACACTCTCCGTCATAATATTGGCAATGCAAGTCCCGATTGGATTGGACCTCATCGTAGTGCATTCTTAGTAAGTACACTCTCCGTCATAATATTGGCAATGCAAGTCCCGATTGGATTGGACCTCATCGCAGTGCATTCTTAGTAAGTACACTCTCCGTCATAATATTCATGATATTGGCAATCCAAGTCCCGATTGAATTGGACCTCATCGTACATGTATCATCTTCTGAGTAAGTACACTCTCCGTCATAATATTGGCAATGCAAGTCCCGATTGGATTGGACCTCATCGCAGTGCATTCTTAGTAAGTACACTCTCCGTCATAATATTGGCAATCCAAGTCCCGATTGGATTGGACCTCATCGTACATGTATCATCTTCTGAGTAAGTACACTCTCCGTCATAATATTGGCAATGCAAGTCCCGATTGGATTGGGCCTCATCATGGTGCCTTCATAGTAAGTACACTCTCCGTCATAATATTGGCAATGCAAGTCCCGATTGGATTGGGCCTCATCACAGTGCCTTCTTAGAAAGTTCTCACTCCTCCATAATATTGGCAATCCAAGTCCCAAGTGGGTTGGACCTCGTCGTATTGCCTTAATTTTGAGTAAGGGCACTCCCTTTCATTTGATTAACAGCTGTTGAACTCTGTATAGGTTTGAATCTGAACTTTTGGAAAGGAGAGTAGATAGGCGTTTCGCATTCCAGAGAAGCGTTTAATAAACGAAAGTTGTCCACTTAAGATGGCTCAGTAACTCTTGACTCCACGTACCCTGAATTCGAACATGTATGCAATTTGCACCATTGACAGACTTTAGCAAGGCATTAACATGCAAAATGTCACCATCTGACACTTGTTACAAACGCCGAGCTCCGAACGACGAGCGCAAAACGCCGAACACCGTACACAAAAAGTACGATACTAAACTAGATGTCACCACTTGACATGAAAGTGGTGACATAAAAACTGAATGCTGGTCACAAGTCAGTTAATATTATATAATGAGTGAAATATGAATGGACATTTTGTTTACAATGCATATGCATACAATAATGTTTTCTGTACTACAGGTTTAACAACAGAGAAGATTTTGATGTAATGAACGAGGAACTGGAACTTATCCCTAGCAAACCAATTGGGGATAACACATTCTATCTGAAACAGGGAGAGGAAGAGCCCATGATACAAGCACTGGCAAATCAGTTATCAAATAAATTCTCCTGTTCACCGGGACAAAGCGACGAAAGTAAGCGCAGTTTCTGTAAAATATTTTCATTTCATCAAGCACATTGTTTATGACAATTATCATGTACAATTCAAAAATCAAGTGCGACTTGGTCTATAGGTATATACTGTCGACCAGATACATTCGGAATATTTATGGGGCATGCTACACTTTGCGTTTAAACCTAATTAAAGAAAAGTTAAAAACTGTAGTGAATTTGTTCCAGCAAAAATTTTTGCTTCTACAGCAACATTTCACATCTTTTGTGAAGATTTTTAATTTGAGTTTACACCTCGTACAGTATAGTTAACTGTAGAGATCACTTGTGCCTGAGGGTGCAACCTTTTAAATTATAGATGCCCTTATCAATGGAGAATTACTTTGCTAAGTTTCAATCCAAAAGTGTTCGAAATAGCTTTATGAATTAAAGTATCAATTAATTATAACAATTTATAATGGATGTAGAGCCAATGTCGCAAAAATGCACATTTCCTTAAAAATATGATACGGACACACATTTGTGATAAAAATGTCGTGGAAATTCTGCCTACAATTCGTGAAATAAGAAAAAGAAATAATGTAACTTCGTTCGAGTTTCCGACATTTTGTTACCGAAACGTTTAATTTCGGTAACTAGTTTGAAGAGTGCAGTACCAGTGACTAAAATTTCAACTTTACGTACTATACACTCACACATCTACAGATCGCTATTAATAGTACAATAACGTCATTTCGAAGGGTAATATAATGAATGTCATTATATCATTATATTGCCCCTAGAAATGACGTTATAAGTATTATTACCACTGTTAATGACCAGGACTGAAACAGCAAAAAAATCTTACGCACTGAACAATATCTCATTTCCTGGGGAAAATTGCCGGTCATTAATTGCATTCTTGACCGGCAATATTGACAGCCATTATGACGTCACATATTGCTCAGGTCGATATAGTAAAATGAATGGCTTCTACGCCTAAACTAGCACTAAATCACTAGAACTGGCCCGGCAAGGTGGTAATAATACGTAAATATTAATCCTTCAATATCCTTTTATTTTCTAACAATAAATAAAACAATAGGTCATATCAATATGTTCAGAAGGCTTAGTTCTGCTTGTATCTTTTTCAGGGGTATGCGCCGATGTAGTGGTTGGAATGGACGTCAGTTGCAGCGTCGCAGAAAAACATCGCGAAATGTGCGTTGAGGTTAGTATTTAGAAATATATCCCTTTTACGGCTTGAATAAATTCAAATATTTAAGCCCAGGACTCAGTGCATTGTGGATACTGGATAATTTAATCCACGCATATGCTGTGTCAAGACATTTGTATGAGTGCGGCAGCGTTTTTGATGAAGCAACATCTCATATAGTTTATCTGAAACGTCTACAGTACAGGCCTTTGAAGAAATTAGAAAGATGTAATAAATATGTGAAACAAACACTGAAATCTGACTCGTTCGCTCGTTTATTAATGAAACATCACTTGGCCACAATACATTCATCCGATGGGATTATGTAGTTTAGCATAAAAAAATGTTTTGAATCAAAATTATGTATAGGCGACAATCCTTATTTTGCATTTTTCGAAAGACGGACTGCTGAAAAATCGCCTTTGTTTAGAGAAGACGCTTCCACATCCCTCACCATTTCAATTTTTCTTGTTATAGGTTATCAAAGAAGTGGTCCTTGGTACCATTGGAGACGTCCGCTATTCTGCATTCACATTTGATGAAGACGTCTACGAAGAGTTCGATAGTAATGGTGAAGAGGATCCAGATGTTATTCGTTCAAATCTGGATAATGTAAATTTAGAATCCCGAAGATGCCGCACGAGAACACAAGCCGCTCTCCGTAAGTTCAGCGAGGTTTATTTCAACAATACTAATCCTCACCCCGATGACCGTGACGATGCTGCATACCCCGATATCGCTATATTATGCTATGACGGTGTGACGTATCCACAGCGTATGCAAGAAAAGACATTGGCAGAAGCCCAAAAATTGAAGGACTCTGGTACTAAAGTATTATTAGTTAAATTATGGAATAACTATGAAAGATTTAGCGCAGATATCGAGTTTGAGTCGATCCCATCTGGTGACGATGCCTGTATACCTGGAAAGGGCCAGGGATACCTCACGGCAGATAGTAAAGCGGCGGTGGTAGACACATTGTTAATGCAGTTACAACAGTTCCAATGTCCAACAAAAAAATAATAGAATAGATGTGATATAGGAATAAGACTTAATCATAGTATAAAGGGCCCATACAACAAAATAAATTCTGTGTTTGATATAATAAGACATGGGTAATGGCAAGCAGCGAACAAAATTTAAAATGGTATTTTGATGCACCGTCGCTTGATTCGAACATTGACTTTTTATTATCTTTTACTTCCGGGTAATCTTTTACACCCGAGTATTCTTTAACATCCGGGTAATCCATAAAATGGCGATTTCAGCGATATTGTCAACTATAAAATATATGCTTCTCACTTAACGGTTGCACCCATAACTGTTCACTCAGTAAATAATGGTGGATGCAGTATTTTATAATGATCATTTCGCAGAGAATTCTCTAATATTCTATTACGCCACAACAAACTAATATTAAACCCAGAGTAGCCTGTATCATGCATTATTTAACGAATGCTATGATCTAAATGTAGTAACTTGATTTTAATATCCTGAAAATACATGGCAAAGGAACTCTGATGAGCAATAGCATATTGCACCCATGCTGTTGACATCTGGGTACTATTTGCACCGGGCGTTCGAATTAAGCGACTAACAAAGATAATTCATTATTTAAAAGTAAAAGTAATTCCTGAAAATTATTATTTATCAATAAAAGGGTATAAAAGTAATCAAGTTTTTGTTTTATCAAAAGGATGTACCATGTAGGATAGTAATTTTGAAAGATTCAAATAAAACAAGGCATTCACATACAAATGCCACCACCTGCTATTTGTTACAGACGCTGACCGTCGCACATCAACTGCCAATCGCCTTCGGCAAAAATGTTGGAGACTATAACAATATATGTCATCACTTCTGTTGGTGAGATAAAAAAATATTGAAAAACAAGTACGTCGGGAAACTGTTTCTTTAGCACTCTCTGTGTACAGTTTTATACTTACGGCATATCACTGGTGGATCGGGGGGGGGGGTAACAATACCAAAATATTGCAATTGGCACCCAAATAAATCTAGGGCCCATAATCTGCTTCTCCCAACATAAATTGGGCATTTTAGGAAACACACTGGCATAACTGGGCTATACTTTTGCCCTCCCCTGATTTCCAGGTCCGTTCATGGATTGTTGGGTCAAAACGAATTTGACTGGATTGTATTTAACGACATCTATATAACTCATGTTTTTATCTATGTTTATTTTCATTTGGATCAATTGCATGACCACAGTTTAGACTAGTTAATATCGTAAAACATTAAATGCTTAAGTGAGTATTACTAGAAAAAAACAATATAGACCAATAGAAACTTGTTTTCACAACTTCTATACCCTGATTCAATTCATCAATTAGTAATTTTGCTTTATTTGAGTTGACTACCAGTGATAGTATATTCAAATTAATTTTGGCGTTAGACAAAAACGTCTGAAATATATTTTTCTGTACAATTCTGGCTTCGCCAATATGGCTCGATTACTTAGATAAGTTATCGCTCGGTTGTGGTACGCTTTCGCTTAATGCTGTTCAATATGAGGTACAATATTCTACAGATACCCAGGATAGGTCAGGTCCGCTACTCTATAACTGATAAAATAAAAAACATTTTTCACTTTGGATTAGTTCACAGAATTCAAGGTCAGGAATTAAACTATAGTCAGCAGATGACAAGCAATGTAACCGATTGATAACTAATGTTACTAGCTCACAACTAATACTTGCACCTAACATACATTACATGGTAATAGTTAACAAATAATGTTACCAATTCATAACTAATGTCACAGACTCATATTAGGTATCTAATATTACCAGTTCACAAATAATGTTACCAGTTCATAACAAGTTCACAGGCATTTCATGTTACCAGTTCAAAAATAGTGTTACCAGTTCACAAATAATATTACTAGTTCACAAGATCTTCATGTTACCACCACAAAATAATGTTACCAGTTCACAACAAGTTCACAAGCATTTCATTTTACCACTTCATAAATAGTGTTACCAGGTTACAAATAACAATACCAATTGACAATAATTCCATGTCACCACTTCACGGACATAATGTTACCAGCTCATGAATAATGTTACCAGCTTAGATTATGTTGCCGTCTAACATCCATATCATTTTACTAGTTTTGCAAAAAGATTGTATCTGCTCTGTAATACCACCAAAAATTATAACCCTTTTGACCCAATAAAACAATTAGTCCCATTTTAGTATGCTCATTGTAAGTACACGTACGTATGATTATCATCAGTTTTCCAACGCTGGACTTTCTTATCACAGTTTTTGCCATTAAAGAAAATACCTTAAAGCACAATTTCAGAAATAGGTACGTTTAGAGAACGAATCCTAAATAACAATCTCATACGCGTTGAGTGGTCATTCCAAAACCGCATGATCACGAGCATGTCATTCTCAATGAAGCAATTGCAATAAGTTAATACAGGTTGAAGAATAAAATCACCCTATATGAAATGGGTGTTGAATAACAAAATTCTGTCTTGGTGTTATGAAAACGCAATCAGTTTAAAGATCAAATATCAAGTATCAAATGGTCAACTTCTGATGGCAAGTTGCATAGTTCGATATCCATTGAATAATAATTAGCGGGGTTAATTACCAGGGGACAAAGAAATCATTCTACGACTTTCTAACACTGTAACATGTTATTTAACACCCAATGCAAGAGATTCACCCATATGTGTACAATCCAATGAATCCATATGTCTACAATCCAATTGTGTACAATCCATTTGTGTACAATGAATCCATTTGTGTACAACATATATGTTCTGTCCACCCAAAACACTTTTCTCTTTCAAAATTCTATAACATTTTCTAGTAACAATAACAATATGTAAAACAACGGGAAGACTAATACAAGGGTTGTCCAAAAAATCTTGATTTTTTTGCTCTAACTTCACTAAATATTGTTCTCTTTACAGCATAGAACTTTTTTTTATTTGTAAAGTTTAGTGGAATTAAACGCATATGAAATGTGTGGAGGTTGCATTCTTGAGTTCGAAATAATTTCTTTATTACAATCTCAATAAAGTAAATTGGTAGATGCATCTGAAACTACATGTACGTTTATAAATTCCTCATAGTTTTCATCTTTAAATATTAGCCAAAGTGGCAAATTAGAATTTGACATATTCCCGAAGCTTTGAAGAAATTGTGTTATTGTTCTTTCAATAGTGTCATGAACATGGACCTTTTGTCAGAAATACTTCGACGTCATGATACAATTCAAGTTTATTCATTTAAGAATGCTTTATGAGATTCGACTAAGTATATTATTTATTTAAGTAAGGGTCATGCATTACATCACACCCCTTAACATCTATGCTTAACACAGCACCGTATCACCAATGAGTATTCTAATTGTTTTAATATAAAAGATAAAGGTACGCCATAGTCAACATGTATACCATAGAACAATAAATATAAATTCAGAATTAAAGCAAACATTTGTAGAGTTTGGACGACCCTCGTATATGTGCGTTCATGCGTAGAGTAAAATGTATAAAAATCATGCAATTCAATAATAAAACATACGTTAGCATAACAGTGTTCAAAAACGTTTAACAAACAGTATTCAATATAAAATCAAACATGGAAACGGTTGTACGTATTGACTGGATTGGAATTGTCGGCTGATCTTTCCTATTTATATAGCTCCTTCTGTTCATTGTCATTAACTGTCCGCACAAATTCCCAAAGAGATTTAAACCAACTCCTAGACAATGCAGCCGATTCTAATTGAGACACCTTTTTCGATTTTGTGCCAACGTCTATGAGCAATGTAGTGTAGAGTTTGTCATCACGTGACTCTATCAGACGACAGTCAATATCCTGTAAACTGTCTAGTCCTCCATGTATTGACGCTGCCCTATTACTTACTAATTCATATCTGAAAAGGGGATATCGAATAGGTTAGGTACATATGTACATCATGGAGCACATTATTTTACTTCATTTTTAATCAATGTTCAATGACCAAGCCCGTAGCCAGCTTTTGCCAAGGGAGGTCACTTCAAAAGGAGGAGGGAAAGACGTATCGCAGATTTCGGACAGTCATATGTTCGATTTTGGCTATTTCCTCAGGATTAAAACAGGTGCATATGTTAGGCCAATGCATTATCTCCAGGAAAAGCACTCCAAGAGATGATAAAATAATTTCGAGTTTGAGATAGGGAAGATGCAAACAACCCACTCACATGTTTTTTCTGAAATGTCCTGATTTTCAACCCTTTCCACCCCTCCTTTTCGAATTTTTGTTGCATCAATATGTTGCGTTTTGACACACAATTAACCCCTTTAACGGAATATGTAATTCCTCCTGGGGTTTTAAGGATATCCATAATTAGCTGAAAGCAATAGATCGCATGAGTTTTCCCTATTGGAAAATAACATGGGGAATATTATCTTCCACTTTATCGAAGAGGAATCAGTTATTCCTTTTAATGGATATTTGTATCTTAAAACGCAACCTATTGATCGCAAAGAAAATTTGAAAATGCAGGGTGGAAGGGGTTGAAAATCAGGAAAACATTTCAGAAAAACATGTGAGTGGGTTGTTTGCATCTTTCCTGTCTCAAAGTCGAAATTATTTTATCATCTCTTGGAGTGCTTTTCCTCGAGGACATGCATTGGCCTACATATCCATCTGTTTCAATCCTCAGAAAATAGCCGAAATCCAATATACGACTGTCTAAAATCTGTTGCGATACTTTCCCCCCTCCTTTCCAGACGGTCAGATTTGACAAATTTGGCCCAAAATCACTTGAAAGGTGCTCAGAATGGTGAGAAATTGCATTATTTTGAAACAATTTTGCCCCCTGAATCCCCATCGGCGACAGGACTGATGATAATGAATCAAATAAAATAGCAATCTGGTAATATGTGAAATATTAGATGTGAGCTCGAAAATTGGATATTGCAATGTTTCATGTATAAATGCGCAAAAGTTGGTTGGTGATATCAATAAATATTTTAAAACAACTTGCGTGATCTAACTAATTTTGGACTCGATTTTCTCATTAATTTTTTACCAGTAAGCGTTAGTGTGTATATTTGTATAATCTATCTGTACTTTCTATTAAACATAATAATAGTATAGGTGTTACCTTGTTATTCTATTACAATTTCTTGGATTCAGATTATTTATTATTTTTAAAATAAATGTTCAAACAACCGCGATATTGGGGGTTTTCCATGAAACATTGTAGAACTTAATAGAACTAATCGTTTTTCATGAACCATTATTGAACTTTATAGAAATAATTGTTTTTCATGAACCATTATTGAACTTTATAGAACTAATCGTTTTTCATGAACCATTATTGAACTTTATAGAACTTATTGTTTTGTATGAACTATTATTGAACTTTTTAGAACTCGATGTTTCTCATGAACCATTAGTTAACTTTATGGAACTAATCGTTTTTCATGTACCATTATTGGATTTTATAGAACTAATCGTTTTTCATGAACCATTATTAAGCTTCAAAGAACTTATTGTTTTTCATGAACAATTATTAAGCTTCAAAGAACTTATTGTTTTTCATGAACCATTATTGAACTTTATAGAACTGATTGTTGAACTTTTGCTGTCATATACCGTGTATATAATTACTCTCTTAAGTTCCTTCTCACCTCATATCATTGACAACGGGGTTCCCAAGATGACGTATCATCTTATATCTCCCTATATTACTAGAAGGTCTTTGTATAATATACCCAGCCTCGTTGATCCTGCGTGTAAAACAAACATCAAAAGTTAATTAATTTACAGTAGAACTACCAAGAAAGTATTCATCATCATCTTCACGTCCACAGCTGGATGACTCTAACTGTAGTTAGCTTCATTCAAGATGGTTGCCGAGACTCTTTCGTTTTCGATAAACCTCCGATTTCAGCTTAACTAAGATGAATCTTGATTCCAAAAGTTTTGCCTTGCGAATTAATAAATCTACGATTGCTATCAACCCTAAATGAATACCCAAACACCCGCAATATTAGAGCATTTTAAAGAAAACGGCTTCACTTAGAATGACTCTAACTGAAGTTGATGATCTACGTCATCATAACGTCATCATCAACTTCAGTAAAGTGAAGGCATTTTCTATAAAATTCTCCAATATCGCGGTTGTTTGAACATTTATTTGTGTTTATTTACCATTGTAGCTTAGCTTTATTAATTTCCATGGCGAAACATTTGTAATCCACTACTTAGTTTAGCTGGAATCGGAGGTTTATCAAAAAACGAAAGAACTTCAACCATCTTGAATGAAGTTAACTGCAGTTAGATTCTTCCAGCTGTGGAACAGTGATCTCGACGAAAATTGTATCAATTTTAGAATATATTGGGCTCACCATTCCTTGGCTGGAAATGGACACACCTTGCCTAGCTATGTGTTAATGTTGTGTAATGCATTGACATAAGATGTTGTCAAGTATTGTATTGTATTGTATTGAAATAAGAATCATTCTGGCTCAGAATAAGTAATAAAATAAATTAAAAAGGTGGCGTGACAACTGACGGGACTATCAGAAAATCACTAATATGAGCTGAACCGTGTTCAAATACCTCAAAAAGAGATCGTCGTCCTCGCCGCCCCATCCCCAGAATTCATTGGAATAACCATTGAAGCGAATGTACTGCTCTCTCGATACAGCAAGGCAGCCCCCTACCAGTCCTTTGTACATTAACCTACAACGACATAACATTGAAGCATATGAAGCGTTCTTTCGACACAGCAAGGCAGCCCCCTACCAGACCTTTGTACATTAACCTACAACGACATAACATTGAAGCATATGAAGCGTTCTTTCGACACAGCAAGGCAGCCCCCTACCAGACCTTTGTACATTAACCTACAACGACATAACATTGAAGCATATGAAGCGTTCTTTCGACACAGCAAGGCAGCCCCCTACCAGACCTTTGTACATTAACCTACAACGACATAACATCGAAGCATATGAAGCGTTCTTTCGACACAGAAAGGCAGCCCCCTACCAGACCTTTGTACATTAACCTACAACGACATAACATTGAAGCATATGAAGCGTTCTTTCGATACAGCAAGGCAGCCCCCTACCAGAACTTTGTACATTAACCTACAACGACATAACATTGAAGCATATGAAGCGTTCTTTCCACTGCGTGAAATATGGGATTCCAACTCTTGACACGTCTAGAAACTGGTCTTTACACGCCGGGTTTCTAGACGTGCCAATTATTTACACCTCTTGACACGCGATGAATTCAACTCTTTACACCTCTTTGCACTTCTTGGCACACGCAGTGCAAAGACGTGTAAAGACCATGTCAAAAAGTCTTTACACGCCCTGTGACAATTAATGGAATCTCTTGACACGCTCTTGGCACACTGAACAACATAATTATGTGTAAACAACTAACCTAATTACCAATAGCAATACATACAGTATTTTAACGATTGCAAGTATTTTCTCTGATACTTTTAATTGATATATTTTTTAATCATTCTTTCGCAGACTGTTTGGAACAAGTACATGTAGCAAATATTAAACAGACTATTTTGTATGTACGCTGACACATTGACTTATTTAAACATTTTGGCAATTTCATGCCGCCTTTTGAAAATATAAATCAGTTACAGGCAATGCTAATCGACGCATTGATCCTAAGTGAAGGAAATACATATCATGATAAGAAAAAGAAAGGCGTTTCAAGGATAAAACGTGCAATAAACTTTGAAAACACTGATACATCAGGCCTATTTATATATTTATTTTGTATTAGCTTAATATAAAGATAACCTTACTTTTCGATGAGTATTTGGATTTCGGAGTAATTTGTTTCAAGTTAAGTCAATACAAATTATCGCCGACTTAACTTGTGACCATACATATGATAAATGAGGGGCATTTTAATACACAATTGGGCAAAACAAGCATATTCAATCGAATGTACCATTCTCTCTGCTGTTCTTTCCCAGCCTATCCATAAGCAGACAGGTACAAGTTCCCATACTTTTCGCAACATCTAATTCTATGATCAATTGCTAGACACAGCAAATATACTAATTAATTGTCTGATTGTGATTCGGGAACGTAGGGTTTTTACATAAACAGGATACTTGGCTGTACATAGCCTGAGAACACTGGATTGACCCCCCCCCCAATCGACGCATAGGCGCTGCTTATGTTTTAATAAGAAACATTCCCTTGTAAAGAATTATCGCGATATGAATTGATACAAGGTCAAGTATTCTGCCCCTTTTGTGTGATAAAAATATGTATTTAATTGGTGCTTTAACTTTTTGAACAAAGAAATGAAATAATCGCACTGAATGTCTCAACATAAATCAGTGATGTTTGATTAATAAATGACACTATTATGTCAGTCTACGCACTTCATGGACATGGACGGGGGGGGGGGGGTGAGTTACCCATTCTAAAATGGTTAAATTTTGTATTAAAGAGTAATCAATAGGTCGTGAACTCCGATTGATAACCAACTGTAGCATACTGCTTAATTTGTTTGACTATTGATATTAAAAAGGAGTGAATTTATGATATTCATAGAGGTACATTGTATTGGTATTAATATAATAATGATATTGGGGACCATAAACCACTTTGTTTCGCAAGTAGCTTTAGGATCGCGGTTTTATCTTCACATGTTGCCCTTTGTGCAATTCGAAAATGAAATATTTTAATCTATAATTTATATATCATTTGCAAAATAAATGTAATTAAGAGACATGGGGGAGGGGGGGGGGGTTAACGGCCAGAATTTGGAATGAATTTGGGAATTTCAAGGATTGATTCACTTAATGTTGTTCACTGGAGTCGATACACACACCTGCATAACAATCGGAGACAAAACTGACTTAATCTGATATGATAACAAAAGATTAATAACTTAGTCTATGTTTTTGTTTTTATAATTGCGGAAGTGTACCAAAACCACCTTGATTACAGAAGATATCGTCTAGGCTTTAGATTTAATGAATAGATTTTTTGCCCTAGTCTCATTTAATAAAACAGGCTATTTGCGTATTTAATTAATATTTGTGACAAAATATTTCAGTTAGACTCAAAATCAAAACGAATTTCTCCATTATAGCCCCCCTTGCAACTGTCCCGAGTCTGCATCTGTTTTTCATGCTTCCGATCCACCTTTGGGATAGAGAGAATAGATGTAGATTTGTAATTTGGGGGGGGGGTGGCATTAAATGTGTTCTCATACAAACTAAAATAAACCCCAAAAAGCCATATCAAATGCCCAAACACAAGACCAATGCCATGTCAAACATCCAAATATAGAACCAATGCCATACCCCCGGGTACCAAATATCCAGAATATAAGACCAAGGCCATTCGAAATATCGAATGCCCCGAGAAGAAGGCAGATCTTTGAGTAAAATGATCATAAAACGGTGTAACAACTAGACCAATGCCCCGGGACCAATGCCGTACCACAATTGAGGGGTAACATATTTTCCACACCGATTCTTATACCTGAAAATCGAAAAATCTGTCTTAAAATGTGGGCCCATTGGCTTGACATACCAAATGTAAAAAAGGTACCCCACCTGAGCCGAGTGTGAACCCCCGGGGTGAATGGTGAACACACGGGGCAAGGAAATCTTCGATTTTGATTCAAGTAATTTTTTTATAAAATTCATACTCATGTTAATAGCGGACGCCTTGGCCAAATAATCTTTCAAATCATGCACTTTCCAAGTGATTTTGTAGCAAAATTTTGATAATATATGAACCCCTTGGAATTATTCAAAGACGGACCCCCGCCAGCCCATCCCCCATTCTTACCTATGCTAAACACTAAGATAAACATATAGAATGGTATCTTACACTTTTTTCTAAATGTTAATATCCAAAAAACATATCTTTTTGGTTTATCAACACATACCGCTCACAATATAACAAGTATACAGATTGTAACATAGATAAGCGAATTGGGGAAAATTACAATCCCTTTGATCAAATTATTATAAGATTTAATCTCCAGCTGAGGTGCAATCAAAATGTTGATACACATAATTAGCAGTCAGAAAGATGCTCTTACCACTGTAGTTTTCAATATTCCCTTTGTTGTAACATCTTATTTCAAAAGAATGGATATTGATGGTTGTATGAAAGTAATCATATCAAACATTCACATTATAGTTTACAGTGGAATTCCCTCCATAAATGCAACATATTTACCATTTAAGATTTCATATTGGACTTTCCGCATAATGATAAAATGTTGACGATATAGTTTTCGATAAAACCCCAGGGCCGTAGCCAGCTTTCAGTCGGGGGGAGGGGTGATGCAATCACCAAAATATTTTAGGTTTTCAGTCGGGGTGACATAAATGAGGCAAAAAAAATTTGTTTTGAATTTTTACGAAAATGATGCAACTTCCTTCAAACCTGAGCTAGAAGCTTCAAACAAAAAATCAATTTAATGCTCTTTTCTTCCTCTACCTTATGGTACCTTTTATTGCTTGTAGGAGGGGGTGCGAACCCACCGCTTCTCCTCGTTAAGCTTATAAACCCAATAACGTATTCCCAAGGAATCGACTTTATTAATTTATATGTGAAAAATGAGCTTGCATGTACAAATTGCATCGTATGCAAACCTTCCCCTGACCGACCCGGTCATGTTTATGTCTTTTGAATAATGTCTACCCCTTGATGCATGCATCCTTTAATAAGTGGTGTTAAGAATATTGGTGTAGGCCCTGGTGAAGGGATATGTCATAAAGATTTCACGTTATCGCGATATACATGTAGCCGCGTCCCCTTTGTCTTTATCCTTCCAAACGCAAACGGCAGATAAGAGGGGTTCTTAGTGATTGATCTGATGCTTAATAAGCCACTTACAAGATACAGTTTTAAATATTGATATTGTGTAAAGTTTTAACACATAGGCGTAACCAGGGGGTGGGGGGGGGGTGCGATGTGTGAATGATCGCACCCCCCCCCCTGCTTAACCAATAGAGAAGGAAGAAGAAAGGAGCTTTGAATGGCTTTCATTTGAAACTTCTAGTTCAATTTTGAAGGAATTTGCAATGTCTGGTTCACATTTGCTCAAATTCATCGTCCGGCCTCCGGCCGATTGAGTATTTTGTTTAAAATTGTTTTCATGTTTGAAAAAACACTCAATCGGCCGGCCCCCGGCTGATGAATCGGAGCAAATATGACCCAGGCATATGAGGGGCAACATTTTAGATATAGTATTGTTTGAAATCCTGGGAAAATGCACTCCCCCAATTTTGCAAATCTGGTCTGCGGTGCTAATGAACCCTCTAATTTGTTTTCGTTTACATGAGCAACTAACAGATATGTTTATTCTCATTCTGTCTCAGCTTGATTTTAATTAAATTTTACCCCCACCCTTCGAACGTCTTTGTCTCTCTCATTTTTGCAACCCTACATTCAGTTTCTTTTTAAACCAAATCAAGAAATATCCGTCCACATATCAGATATTAAACCAATAGTTGTTCATCATAAGAACAACCATATATTATATTTATAGATCATAAGCTATTTTTAATTTCAGCTATAAAATTAGTCCTCTCTCCCCTCCTCTATCTCTAGATACGCAGAGTTTCTAGACCGGCTAAGCACGTCTAAAAATTACTAGAAATTCCACAATTTATACAGTGATATGGATTTCATGTTTCTATTGAATCCCTTATTTTGAAGTCTAGCTAAATAATCGAGTTTGATTTTAAACGTTTTCGGGGATCCGGGCAGAACTCAGGATATAGTACTTGAGTACATTTGCATTCAAAATAATTCAAAATTCAAAATTGCAAATATCATGGAAGTTGATTGCAATTATGTTCGATGATCGTCAACATGAAAGAACAATATGTCTGAATAATTAGCTATTAAACATCTTTATCAAAACTTTCCTACACTTTTAAATGTTGATCTTGTCAAAGAGTACTCTCCATCTGAGATTCAGATGTAGATCGAAAATCAAATTGATTTCAAAGGTATTTATAGATGGTTTACATGAGGGGTTCTGTCCATGGTGTATTCCTTTCATAACAAAGAGTTGTTTTGCTTCCGGGGTCCTAAATTATTCAATTTTAAATAGTAACTAATAAGATTAAACAGATCAAAAAGACTCGGGGCACTGCCGTCGCCCCATCAGGATCAATACAGGTGACAATAAGCGACACATGTTTCAGCGTCATGATAGTAAACCATGACATCTCAAATCTTCCCAGCCCTTGATTTTTGAGATCTTTCATCCCAGCTCATATTTCATCTAATTGGGGTCATAAAACTTGTGTAACTGTGCCTGTTGCATCCTCGCTGGAAGGGTATTTTTCAAGTATAAATGAAGTCCTTTGAAGAAGTATGTGCCTGTTGTTAAATACATGTACAATGCCTTACTACATTATGTAATGTATTGACATTAAGGTAGATGATTACATGATAACAATCACACTTATTGACATTCATAACTCTTCCCATCTGATATGCTCAGATCACAGAATATGCCTCATTTTCAGAGCATGTTTCAGGCGTTTCAGACCCATAGCCTGGATTTGCCAAGGGGTGGGTTACTTTTTTAAGAATTTCCAGGGGGAGTTTACTTTTGGCAATGTTAGTTCAAAAATGAGCAAAATAATTTAAAAGGTGCTCAGTATGGGGTAAAAAATGCAATTTTGGTCACGGAGGGGGGGGGGTCGCTAGAACCAATCTATCCCCCCTGTATTCGGGCCTGCATGTGCTATCTACATATTTGACAATAACGCAGATGCGAGTAGGTAGTTACCAGTTTCACCACCAGGTGGCTCGTTCGGGTCAGATAACATGGCGGGTATAGCAGAAAGTTCCCTTTAAATTAAATTACATTTGTTTTAGTGGTTCAATTTTCATATTACCCTTATGTATCTAATAGTTATGCAAATTAAAATATGTCCAATAAAAGAAAATGTTATCTGTCCAATATAAGAAAAGATATTCCACTTTTTGTGATTTTGTAACCTTGGGTCTATGGGGAATCAACCCGAGCGAGGAGTCACACTTTCAAAAAAAATTAATTTTCAAAGTTGAAAAACAATTTTCGAAATCATATTTGTAGATGTACTTTTACATGTAGATTTCAAATATGACATCACTTTGACTGAATTTTGAATATTAAATGACGTAAATCAAGATTACTTCTACTCGCATCTAGTCTAATTGACACGGTTCAAAGTGGACTTTGTTAATTATTCAAACTGTTTTAATATCTAGGAATATGCGTCCAAGTTAAAATCACTCGAAATCAGGGTAGATAAACCTAAGAAAAACACATTTCTTGTTTTCATTTGATCTTTAACATGATCCTGTAAAAATGTCAGATTTAGCAAAATACATAGGCGATCTCCATCTGCACACATCTACTCATTTCGACTAAGCTATTGCCTATACTTACACGCACACGCATACTTTTAAATTAATTTTATTTTGATAATGATTTAAAAAACACAAATTATTATTAACACGAAATTAAAATGATTGTTATATTCCAATCCTAGTAAAGTATAATTAAGCGCGACTATAGGGCATAACAACATGTGGCCGGTCTAATTATACTGTTTGTTTTGATAAGGCTGTGCAAAGAGATATCAAAACTCTTGACACGCTCTTTACACGCGAGGTCTTTGCACCTCTTGACACGTCTTGGAATCTCTAGATACGCGGAGTTCCTAGACTATCTTTGCACGTCTAGAAATTGCTTGGAATTTCACATTTGACGCAGTGTTCGATACAGCAAGGCAGCCCCCTACCAGAACTTTGTACATTAACCTACAACGACATAACATTGAAGCATATGAAGCGTTCTTTCGACACAGCAAGGCAGCCCCCTACCAGGCCTTTGTACATTAACCTACAACAACATAACATTGAAGCATATGAAGCGTTCTTTCGACACAGCAAGGCAGCCCCCTACCAGACCTTTGTACATTAACCTAGAACAACAGAATATATTGAAGTGTTCATTAGACACAGAGAGGCAGCCCCCTGTAACACTTTTATACATCAATTTACAACGTTAGAATATCTATTAAATTGTCTGGGATAGATGAACTCGGCTAAAGAATGTATATACTAGTATACTGTAGCTAAACCATAGAAGTTCATATGTTGCCACAAGACTTAAATATGATTGATGGGTGCTTCCCCATTAACATACTTACATATATCTGTATATATTTATTGCCACAGACATGTGAATAGGATTTTCGGTGCTACACTCATATATGTTCCTATCATTCTCTGGAATGAGGTCAACGTCATGGAAAATGAAGCATGAGAATTCCGGTGACATCTTTATAATGGTGTCTACTGCTTTATTGTACAGTCGCCCTTTGTTCCAAGTAGATCCAGGCGTCTGGAAAATATATAAGGGTTGCGTAGTGACAGCTTTTGGATACTGTGATATAAGGGTTATGCACTGAGAGGTTTTAAATGCGGGAATATAAGGGTTACACTAGTATACTGAGATATTTTGGATACATTGATATAAGGGTATGTACTGATAGGTTTTATATATAAGGGTTGCGAAGTGAGAGGTTTTGGATACTGTGATATAAGGGTTATGCACTGAGAGGTCTTAAATGCGGGAATATAAGCGTTATACTATAGTATACTGAGATATTTTGGATACATTGATATAAGGGTATGTACTGATAGGTGCATGGATATAAGGAGTATGTTTCGATGCTCTATACGTACATAAGATTTATCCCTGTCTGCCTGTGGTCCCTCGAGAAAATACCGTATGTACTATTACATCATAAATACCCATGGGAGATTAATAACCAACAGGCAGATTAATATTCAATGGATGCATACGTTACGTTATGTTACGCTACGTTACGTTAAAAATGGTATTATTTTACATTCTAGCTTGACACATAATTGTGACAAATTACATCGTTTAGAAACAGCAATTAGTTGTAATCGCAACCTCCATTATTGCCAATCTTATCTGAAATATTAATTGAAAATATAATTTCGGAAAATTATCATTTCTGAAATATCAACCCATCATTATCATGATATTTCATCCAATTTTCGTGATTTAATGTGATTTATTGAAAGACACTAGTATCTCATTCGTAGTTCAAAATGTAGATGCAGAACCGAAATGGATATACGTATCTCAAGCTTTGTATAGTGATTAGTTTGAATCCTGATTTACGACTCTAAAGGGTGGTCCAAAAATGGGACACTCGTATTTCAAAAATAAATATTGATTTTATTTATGAAAATATATCATATTATATACCAATGGATTTGAATTTACTTATCTTTAATTTGGTATATCACAAGTTCAAAGGACAAGGTGCAATTATTGGCAAATATCCCTATGGTCAAAATGAATCATTCATAGGTGTAACATGAAGAATAAAATGTCATATAATACTTTGGAAAATATTAAAGTGCTCGGACACACATAAGCTGAGATAGGGATTATTTCGTTCAGTAAGGTTGTATTGACTTACATGGGGCTGTGCACCATTGACTTAACATGAGGATATTAGCAGATCCCAATAGAGGCCATTGGTTTCCAGAAATACCAAAAATACACTATGACCTGAATCGATTGCAAACTTAATAATTTCACAATACGACACAAATGGTTTATCTCATCAAATGTGCAAATATGAAGTTTGCAATCGATTCAGGTCATACTTAAAATTAAAAGATTGTACATTTTTTCATCATTTTTCCCCCTACAAAATGGCTATAGAAAAATGCTCCAAAAACAACTTTTACACTTATCAAATATCATACAAGTTTGTAAAACCAAAGATTATACTATTATATTTCATTATGTAGTAACATATTTGGATAAGATGCAGGGATGCGTAGGATGTAAATGGATTTTGACAGACACAAAAATACTTCCTGGTTTGGAATCTATGCCTCTACACTTCATGATTGAATTATGACCCTAATAAGTGGCCTATACATCAATACAGTGCTGAATATAGGTCAACAAGATACTAGTGACGTGCATATAAATGTAATAATTGAAGCAGAATACTCATTTTGAAAAATCAGATGAATTATTTTTTTCCCATGGGGAGATCCCAATGGCAGGTGTATAAGGTCCTTTGTTATAATTTCTGTCAATCAGCGTCCATAACATGAATGACGCCATTTTCGTTTCAAAACGGGTTTCCAAAACTTACAAAAACCAAATTTTATTGTCAACTTCATTTACATAAACAGAAATTCAATATGTCCACCGGCACCATTTTGACCAATTATTGCCCTTGATTTTGGCCTAAATTGGTTAATAGCATCATTGATATGCTGCTGAGACAATGGATTTCACTTCTCAGTAATCATAAGAGACCGAATAGATGTAAAGGATTCACCAACCAACTCTGTTAATTAGTTCTCCCCATTTTGTGGTACTTAATCATGTTGGGTGATCGGGTGGTCTGGGGGTAGTGATTAAGGGAGATAAATCTAGGCACATTTCCTTTAAAAAATTGACACTCTTGTGGGATCTATGGATTGGAGCCACATCGTGTTGGAAAATGTAATGATCTGAAAATGAGCTCATTTCAGGACGGTCCAAAACACCATAATTGGATCATCCGATGTCAATGTGCGATTACCACATATTGGGAGAACTAACAGCTTTGGTTTACCATGAGGCCCTTACATCTACCCCAGTCACTTATTAGGGAAATAGAATTGTTGATCACAATGGTAGATATATTGAACATCTGTTTATATAAATAAAGTTGACAAAAAAACTTGATTTGGCCGGAAAACACGTTTTGAAACGAAAATGTCGCCATTTATATTATGGAGACTGGTTGACGGACATTATAATAAATTTGAACTTATGGTATACCTTTAAGATAAAAAATTCCATATCCACTGGTATATAATATCAATGACATATTTCCAACATGAAAATCAATATTTATTTTTGAAATATGAGTGTCCCATTTTGGACCACCCTGTACATAACGAAACTTCCTCATATGCATTAGGTTTAACAGAATGCGATAAGAGAATCATTCAAATTTAATGCATACCAAACCAGTAATTTATTCCAATCAGGACTTTAGATTATCATGTTACAAAGGGGAATCAAGAAACAAAACACTGCATGTAGGTGTCTTATTTCTAGTCAACCTTCTAAACATTTTCGCACGCTCGATTTTCACTGCTTTCAGGACAGAAAGGAGCCGAGTGAACGAAGATACTGTACGTTCTAAAGGGGATGATAGTTTGGGATCTAGGTTTCATACAGATGGACATATCCAAAAATATTTCCCGGGGGATAAACCTTATCCCTTAAACTCTCCAGGTACATTGCACACTTGTACACTTCATAAAACATAACAACCAAATATTATACACCCCTCATAAAAAGTATGGAGTCCCAAACTCCTTATTCAACAATGTGGAAAAACCATTTGGCGATTTAATCAACGATTCATCCATAAAGAGGCACAGAATTTAGATCCCAACATAAACGGAATTTAACAAGCCATCCAATGAGAATTTTCAGTGCCCAAAATTATGAATGGGGTATATCTCTTGTTACTCTCACAGTGGGACTAATATACATCAAAATTAATTTGAACTAACGACAACCTGTGATTAGAAAAAACTTCTTTTCTGAAAATATTTTAGTAGGATTACGAGTATATTGCAGTATCAGAACAAGGTAACCACCGTTACTTTATCTTTCAAAATGGTGGGGGTAAGTGTCGATTTCGATATATTTCGTTTTCATCGAATTAAACTGCATTGCCATGGAACATTGTGACACCCACACGCGATATGGAAACAATTCTACATTAAGTTGCAGAGCTTCTATATCAAAGCCAATAACTCAGATGCAAGTAGGTAGTTACCAGTTTCACCACCAGGTGGCTCGTTCGGGTCAGATAGCATGGCGGGTATAGTAGAAAGTTCCCTTTAACTTAAATATTTATCTGTTTTAGTGGTTCAATTTTTCATATCACAATTATGTATCTAATAGTTATGCGAATTGAAATATGTCTAGTAAAAGAAAATGTTACTAGTCCAATAAGAAAAATATTACACTTTTTGTGATTTTATAGCATGGGGTCTATGGGGAATCTCCCTGAACTAGAAGTCACATTTTCAAAAAAAATTAAATTTTCAAATTTTCAAAATCATATTTCTAGACGTACTTTTACATGTAGATTTCAATTAGAACATCGCTTTGACAGAGTTTTCCTTACACGCATCTGTCTATTGTCTACGCAAGGTGGTTTAATTCGATGAAAACTATAGAAATATCGAAATCGATACTTACCGCCCGTCGTTATCATCATTCGATACTGTTTGTAATTGTAGTATTGTATAGTATTATACACATTGCATGCCTTTTACAAATTGCATGTGCCATGAACATGCACTTGATAGTTTCAAGCTGTTGTTTTTACATGAAATTATATTTGCATAAAGTAATCTATTGACAGTGGCTTAATTCTGTATATTCTTAAGACTGAGAGCGGGTATAAAATAAGCAGATGGAACAGCCCACAATAGCCAAATATGGCAGTTTAAATGTCCAGTTCAAACAAAATGAGAAACATTTTCAAACTTACTGCTATAACAAGATTGTTAGATGAGTTACAAGTTACAGAAATCTTTTCACCATTTTAATCATTGTTTTGCCTATCAGGAACAGCTGATGGATTTTAATGGAACGCGTTTCTGCTGACATAATTATGGGCACAGTGCTATTATTGATAAAAATGGGATCTATGAAACTTGAGAGACACAAAGGAAACCCCTTATAAATATTTGATAAACAATATTAAACAATTTTTCAGGTCTGCTATAAATATTTAATTATGATTTTTTTTAGAATTTATGAAACCAAAGAATTCTTTACCTGTTCAGCTACAAAAATTTGATAATCTCTTTGTTGGCTTTTTAATATTTTGTGTAGATATTTCAGCAGAATCATCAGCTGGTCAGCTCTATCTCGAAGTGGAATGATTACAGCCAATCGTTGGGCCGCTTTGCAGTTACGTGGTTTAAAGGTCCCGCCTTTTTCCACGTGGTTTAATTCTCGCGAGAGTTCTTCTTGATTCGAGACTGTATGTATATCGACAGGGAATGGACCTTCTAAAATATGAATGCAAAATATACGATCAATAACATACGACTTGTCTTGTTCGTTCAGAAAAGAAAAAATATCGACTACTACTAATGTACTAATAAAGGTATTTTTGCAAAATAAGATATTTTAAAGTGTCCTGGATATCCCGGAATTTCTTTAAAAATTTAAACAGGCGTCAAATGCCTGAGCAAATACCAAAATTCCGTTGTGGAAATATAAGTGGCATTAAACGTTTGTTGCGTGTACCTTTTTCAGTTTTTAAAGGCGATCACTGCAATTTGCTATTTTAGGTTCAGAGTTTTAGATTCAAGCCTGTAAGATTTGCTGGAGAGTGCTAATGCTACATACCTAAATCAGGAGGTTCCGGTGGGCAAATTGTCTGACCATTAGATGTCGCCACTAGATATTCCATTTCATCTTTAGATATACGAAGCTTTGGGAAACTAACTGTCAGATATACAGGGTAATGAAATTGATGAATATAAACTGGAAATAGAAATTGCAGGTAATGTAAAGAATGAGCAAAAAACCTCCATATTAAATACGTCATTATTGTGCTCGTGCTGCCTTGTTCCTAATATGCCGCTCTGATAACCTATTACATCGATAGTAAGTTAAAATATTGAACAAATATTCGAACAAATTAATCAAAAGGGAAAGGAAAAAATACATGTACATCCCGTGTTGTGCACCGTGTCTAATATGCAACTCCCTCCCTTCCCGTGACACAGTAAATAGACAATAATGAATTCAAGCCTTTTACGCCAGTTTAGCAAATATATGTTTCTAAAGAGTAGATGAAGCTCTCTTTTAGAGGCCTTCTCACGTATGAACGAATCCACCAAACGCAGTCTTGCGAATCGAGTCAAATGTCAATTCTAGCGATTGGGAACGTAAACATGCGAATCGAAGCGCATCTTTGCGCAATGCGCATGCTTCCGAAGCCGTCCGAAGCTTTCCGAAGTGATACTTATATATACGAACATCCCAACGATGTACAACGTACACTTATTATAGAGAACGAATTTTACTCAATTCATATTCGCAAGACTTGCGTTTAGTGGATTCGTTCATATGTGAGGGGGGCTTAGGGAACCAAAATCAAATTATTGGAATTGGTTTATATTTTCTCTCATGCTACCGTTTTTAACATTTTGACTGAACTTGTTTAGAAATAGACCTTTATCAACAAGAGTATTTAGGAATAAGGGTCTGGACCTAGTTGCACTCAAGTCTGGGTAATTGCACATATTCTGTTCTAAAAGTAATCGTTTTTTAGAATACACAAACTGTCAGGTACAAGATTCTTTTATGATAATCCCCAAAGTAAAAAAACTTTCCCTTCGATATTATTATTTTTTCAGAAACCACTTTTTTAAATTTTAGATTTAAGATGAAAAGTTCCAGAAATCGTAATGCAAAGTGGTCCAAACTTTCCACGGGACCTTTAAAATCCTAACTCTAATGCAAGACCTAATGATCGAACGTAGTCTTGCTCAAAGACTGTATCCACCCCCCCCCCCACCCCCGTCACCTTCACTCTCTTTACCTGGCAATATACAGAGAGAAGGATAAAGGGGGGGGGGTACAGGGTCTTTTAAGCAAGACTAGATCGAACGAGACTTGTGTCAAATACAGGGAATTAATACTTGTATGGCGGTTTAATAAGCGGGTTAAATCAGGGGTGTTTCAATCTCGAAAATCTGTGTACTAATGTTTCAGACGGGATGGAATAGATATCTGTAAAAGGAAATTAAGAATGCTTTCATCACAACATGAATATTTTGATTAGGGTGATCTCATACATTACTTTTTTTTAATAGAAGCCTCTTACGTGTAGATGCCTTTTACCGTTACTTGACACCCCCCCCCCCTTCTATAGAAATCACTCTGAAAGCAGGTGACAAATTATTACATTACCACATATGCAACGCATGTGAATTTATAATATCATATATTATTTTAATAAATCAATCACAGAAAAGAAAACAGCCATGGAACTAGTACAGGGTGGTCAAAAAATGGAAACCCTGCATTTTCCTCATATCTTTGTTATTTTAGGTAATTATCTGATATTTGACATATTTGTACAACATTCAATTTCCTACCAGCTAACCATATTTCATGACCATCAGATTGGTAGTCAAAATGCTATTGGCAAATCTTTTTCATTGATACACGTACAGGTAGCTATGGAGAAACTGGAATAATCCCGGTGTAAAAGGGTAGGAGGTCCAATCAAATTATGGTCCTACTCTCCATTGATTTATATGGTGACCTAAATACAACTCTTTCCCTCATTATCTTATACGCAACTAGGGCCAGTAAGGGCCGTAGAAAGGGGACCATAATCCCTGGGGGACCATCATTTCTTTCACACCGGGAATAACTGAGTTGATTAATATGGTTGTGTGCATTGATAGATATTAAATACTCTTTTAGACATATAGAGTCATAGACAGATGTAGCCATATGTTTAGATGATTAAATATCGGAGAGAGTATTTCTAATTACATTTGGTCTGTAATCCAATAAAACTACACTCCCCTCCAAAGGTTTGACAAGCAGGGGTCTTTTTGGACCAGATGTTAAAACCTGCTAATGAATTGTTTTTATCAGATTTTTCCGACATATACTAAATATTCCGATTGAATAGGAACAAAATTAAGAACAAAAAGGCAATAATATTTTGAGACTTAGGAATGACAAACTTACAAAGGGGGATATATAGTGTACGCCCCCCCCCCCCCCCTTCCCGTCGTTCCCACCTCATTTTAAGTCTTTGAACCGTTTATATTTTTAGAAATACAATCAAGACCGCCGGCCAGACAGACAAGTGCACTATGGAGAAAACACTTTAATTATACAAGAATTCAACGTAAATAATGGAATGCTATTTCAGTTTGCTGAACTCATTCTTTAGCCTTACAGTATAATGCATATGCATAGTGTGTAGTTGTACATATATATACTGCACTGGCGTATTAGGCACCCCCACCCCCAAGATTCCCAATAAGTGGACCTCTTTTGGCGTTACTGGATCTTTTTGGGCCTTAGTTTGTTGAATATGAGGCCACATTTTTAAGAAAATGGGCCATGGGGTTTTAGGTGTCCAAAGTTTCAAACAGACTTAAATTACCCCACTCCCTTGTTAGTTTTCAGATTCGCCCCTGAACTGCATGTAATAAAATATAGTTACCTATGGCTATTCCTATATATATACACACGAACAGGTGGACGTATGGTTTACTATCATCCGAGAGTCTTAAATTAGTCTTTGCACGCCAGAAGGCTTCTAGTCGAGCAGGCCATTTCATAGTTCTGTTTTCCCTTCTGGGCGAGAGATACTAATTCTCGAATCACTTCTTCCTAATAAGAAAAAACATTTAGTTAATATATGAGTTTTGTTGATATTGCAACCATTAATATTACTATACAGTATTAAACATGAAGTCTACAGTGAATATTTTTTAAGTGAGAGCATTTTCCCAAATAGATAGGCGATAAGAGCATCCGCATACACGGGGCATTGTAATAAAGTCATAGTCCCAGTCCAAGTGAAAATGCACGTTATAGGTCAAAGCACCCCAACAAATCATTCTTTCTACTGATATTTTAAATATCACGCTCACGCTCGGAATTGGTATTGCTCCATGGACATCCTTGAAGCTCAGTTATCTGTATTTGATGGCCTCATGATCATATGTAGTACATTCAAATTAATCACAAAACACGATAAGAGTTTTTATATCCTTATTATGACATTATTAAAATATTTTCCTCATATGCGATACTGTAAAAATAATAAACACAAAGCATGAAATTCTGTTTTTTCAACTCATTTACATTTTTCTCAGATGCACTTAATAGAACGCAGTGTGGTAAAAGATAAGGTCGCATGCCAGCCGACTTCCTCAACTGTTCTATACCAAAACAACCGAAATTGGACTTAAGGTCGTGATGTTTTAGGTCGTAATGTACGGCTACATACGTGTGTATATATCTGAAACAACCTTCCCTCTGGAGATCTCAAGACTCAAATTTCTAAACGTGTATGTTATAATGTCTCTCTTTCCGCCTCTTTCAAGCATCTTCGATTGTGGTTCAATTAATGTACTATATCCATAAACTACTTTGTGTTTTTATACAACTGCACTTCATACAACTGCCATTGTAAATATCACACGTTATCTTTAAATTGAATTGAATAGAATATTATGAGGTAGAAATAACTTTAGCTGTGTATGCCATGATGTCCGTTGCTGCAGGTCTATTCTGTTTACTATTAAAGTCTATTAGACCGCAAATACCTCACTAAATTCATACCGTGTTCTAGAATACAACACTATATTGAATTATTTTAACTGTACCCATTTCCTAGTAGACTAAAGCTAACTAAACTAACTGGATGTAAGCAAGGCATTAGACATGCGATGCAAATCCCCCAACATTTTACAGTAAAAAATGTTTGTGTTAGTTTTTGTTATTTCAAGTTATTTCAATCTCATGTGTTGCATTTGAAATGTAATGTTCTGATTACTTTTTGAGGAAAACTTTCAAAATTATGTCTCGAGGTAGTTTTTTTAATCCTATTTATCTCAATAGACTAGATGCGAGTAGAAATAATCTTGGTTTACGTCATTAAATATTCAAAATTCAGTCAAAGCGATGTCATATTTGAAATCTGCATGTAAAAGTACATCTAGAAGTATGCTTTCGAAAATTGTCTATCAACTTTGAAAATTTTTTTTTTGAAAATGTGACTTCTTGTTCGGGTTGATTCCCCATATAGACCCCATGTTACAAAATCACAAAAAGTGAATTATTTTTTCTTGTATTGGACAGATAACATTTTCTTTTACTGGACATATTTTAATTTACATAACTATTAGATACATAAGGGTTATATGAAAATTGAACCACGCAAATAGATGTAATTTAAGTTAAAGGGAACTTTCTACTATACCCGCCATGCTATCTGACCCGAACGAGCCACCTGGTGGTGAATCTGGAAACTACCTACTCGCATCTGCGTTATTGCCTCGCCTAATTTGCCTCACTAACTTCCCCTCACATATTAAAATTTTCCTCACCTATTTTGAGACCATGGCTACAACCCCAATTCTATATCCACTACAATATTATCCTGTTGCAAGTGAACTGGTCTAGAACAATCCAAATAAGATACAGGTATAGACATCCATCATCCCATATTGCAAGTAATCTTCATCATTAAGACATTGATTTCCGTGTCCTTTGTCCGTTTTAGAGACGTAATGAGACAGATATGTCACAATGAAGCGCGATCGTGCGCCGGTTTTATATTACAAATACTCTGCGGGGCTCTGTGTGATGTACTTATGACCATTTGACACTAGGTGCTCTTATTCCGAAGCAATTTCTGATGCGTCTGGGAAGAATGTGATTAAAACAGCATTCTGCTTTGTTTTTGTCGTTTACGTTCATAATTCTAGCCAGTAATGAACATAATACTCGCTTTATAGGTCTCAGTATTAAGTAATCTCGATCTCTGCAAAGCAGGGTATTATTTATTGATCAAGCCATGCCCAGATACTCCGCACGACCTCACTCTTTTTAACCAGCGTTCCATCGAAAATAAATACGATTTCCCAGTAATTCCAATCCGAAGATAAATCCATTTATCAAGTCTGAATGCACGATTCAAAGACACGAGGTGTCATTCAACGGTACTCCCTTCCGCATATGATCAAGACGGCACGCAAGAATCGCTTACGACCTCCTCTAGTACATCAGTTATCTATTAGAACTTGATTCTCAGACATTCATATTAAAAGATGCTCAATCAATATTTCGATAAGGAGTCTACTGTAGCCGTTATAGCAAAACTAATGACGTAAAAGATTATCCTAAAATAACCTAAAACGACGTCAGTGGCATCGTATATTGCCGTAACATGAAGATGATATGCCGGGCTTTAAACTCCAGACTGAGTTGATTGACTACTACGCCGTAATAGTGAGATACTGCAAAAGATCAATATTTGATAAAAAAGTATCCGGTGTACGCTGGGCCCAAGAAATCGTTATTCCTTCCAAAATATTTCAAAAAATCAATTAAGTTCTTTTGTGTCATCATCATGCGTTATAGATGAATTATCGGCGATAACTTCGTGTAACAACATCAACCTTTTGTTGGAGAGTAGTTGCACAGAAACGACATAAAGAAAATAATAGGAACCTTTTCTAATATAATGATTTTTCTACTTCCAATGTACTACGCTCTGACCCTCGGGTTAAAAATAGTCTATACAGTCGCATTCAAAACAAAAATCACCAGCTTGTGAATTGATATCGCGGAAAAGGCTCTATTAGCGCAGATTCTAACTGAATACGGGGGTTGTCCAATATACTGATACAAGTGCTCTCATTTCCATGCTTGTGAGGGAATCCATCCTCCTAGAGTCCATTTCACTGCTTCATTTCGTCAGTAGAACGGCAAAAATAAGAAATTGGGAGACTATTGTGCAATAATATATGGAAAAGTATATTCATAATGTACATGAATGACATTTGTATATTTCAGATTTTTTAGTTTTTTGTGCAATAAGCCTGTGCCGTCTTGTAATTTGAAGAATTTCAGCCATGTTAATCTTACTGAAAATAACATGGCAGAGAAACATCCAAATATAAGAGGCCACACACTTTATAAGCCAAACTAGAAGCAATCCAAGATATACAAATGTCATTCATGTACATTATTAATATACTTTTCCATATATTATTGCACAATGGTCTCCCAATTTCTTATTTTTGCCGTTCTACTGACGAACTGAAGCAGTGAAATGGACTCTAAGCAGGTGTCCAGAATCCGTACCTCCTTCGTAAAAAGAAAGAATATGTTCTGGATTTTGAACCCCTTTGATCGGAGGATTGGGAGAATCAATAATTTATCAGTGTTCATTGAATGATCCTCGTGTACGGCCTTTGCTGTACCTACTGCCTCCGGCAAGATTTCACCTGGTATGGCGACAACTCTACACTAGAATCAGAAGAGTGGTACGCACCTTCTGTCATAGTATCCTTATATGTAACCGTTTTTATCGACACTCAATAAGGACATCCCTTTTCTTGAAAATAAAACATTTTTACAAAGGAGAGCGAGTTGTTTGTAGAATGAATCGGGGGATTTTTTCATGAATTTTGCTTATGTTTTTCATCCAAAAAACATCAATACACTTTAAAACATTTTGTTTACTTTAAGATTACACCATGTAATCCAAAAATATATTTCTCATTTTCAAAGATAATCCATGGATTAACACCCAGGTATTTTTATTTTTCAAACTTCAGAGGGCTGGGAATCAATGATGCTCAACGCTTTTGAATACGATAAATGCTGTTTTAAATAGGTTTTACGTATGCCAATAATTTCTCAAATTATGTAAGCTGAATGCATTCCTTAATCCCTAGAATGCCTATCATATAACATTCTTTTGTCTTGGCCACTTAATATGTTTTGTTGCTGTCTGATCATCAAATCAAATTGTTGTTATTTAAAGATGTCAGTCAAATCTGGTGAAACAGCACAACATTAACCTAAATAGCACAAGTACATATTATGTAACTCATCCATAATATTTCATGCATCAGGTATTAAGGCTTAGGGGATTAACTTTTACACATAAGCTGAACTGACAGATGTGTATGCTTATATGTACAACTTCCAGGATTGTAAGAATTCAAAACTTGTTGATAGCCATATTTTCCTGAATGTGACATCGAGATATTATGGCATTTATGAGTGGTAAAACATGAAAAAAAGCATTTTCATTTAAAATTAGCATATGATTTGAATTGATGCCAAGAAAAGTATTAGTTAACTGTATCCGTTTTACATCCATTGCAGTTGGCTACATTATAAGACAAGGCATTCACATGCAAAATGTCAACACCTGCCATTTGTTACAGACACCAACTGCCAAACACAAACTGCCAAATGATAAACACCAACCACTGAACACCGTCCACAAAAAAGTTTGAGACCATAACAATGATCATGGAAAATTGTATTTTTTTTAAAAAAGTAGGAACTTCTGAGGTTATTAGAAAATTGGAAGACAATGAATGATTCTGGCTTTAAGATATTAGGGTTATTCTTTTTCTCAAATATCACAGTGTATATTCAAATCACAAATACGATATCATACAATTACAATAATTTATGTCTTATAAATAAGTACTAGCTAAGTAATAGCTTAAGTACTTGTAAGCCAATCTGATTTTAAGGTAGATATGTCTCAATATTTTTCACTAATTTTCATGATTATAAATACCGATAATCAATGAAAGGGACAATATTTTCACATTTGTAATTGTATGTGTATGCATGGTCCATGGTGTATGTTACCATAATTCTTTATATCCACTTAAAATGTCAAAAATATTGTCCAATTTATAATTATCAGATAATGTATTCATCACCAAAATTAATAAAAATTATCAACATGCAGAACTACCTTAAAGAGTTTAATCTCTCACTCAGTCACAATCATGTCAACCAAAACTGTACTTGTGTTACATAATATAGGATTATACAGCTTACCATACGTGTGCAATCTATATAGCATCCACATTGACATCTTTACAGAATCATCTATAATTTTTGAATATAAACTAACTCAACCCAATAAGGCGAGTACTAAAGAATTTACTTACCTGCCATCTAAAAATCTGCTTGGAACTACCATTGGATTCCTCCAAGAGAATATTCTAGGGATTATGGAATGCATTCAGCTTACATAATTTGAGAAATCATTGGCATTCGTAAAACCTATTTAAAACAGCATTTATCGTAAAAGTCCACCCGTGTAGCTCAGCGGTAGCGCAGGTACCTCTTACGCAATAGGTCCCGGATTCGATCCCCGGTTCAGGCAAGACTAAATTTGCTTGTTTGCGTGAAGTACTTCAGGGTGTTTGACTGAGTGGTCCGCAACTCGTACAAAGGGCTGTGGTGTGTACTTATATGTCTATGTATAAGTGCACATAAAAGAACACAGGGCTCCTTCAAGGAGGGGTTTCTGGGTTTATCTTCCATGTTAATTACGTAAATTACGACCGTATATATACGGGACATACCCAAGAGGTATTGCTCACCTTCATTGGTGGTAAACAAAATACAATACAAACAACTCGCTCTCCTTTCAAGTTCATTTGCGCGTGTACATGCTCGAGGTACTGATTTTGCCTAATTGATATTCTACTATTTTTCATTTGGCGCTTTTTCATGATTCAACTGTATGCCTACTCAGTCGGTCGTGAAGCTAATACATAAATTTATCCCACGATGTGGGTACAATAACACAAAATTCAGGGATATTCCTGACACTATTGAGACCCGTGTGATGTTTTTCAAAAAATTGTTTATCGTCCTTATGCGGGTGATATCGTTTATTAGCCGCATATCCGAAACGAATGTGAATTTTTATTTTTTATTGTTATCACGAGATAAATCCACTGTCAGATCATTTCTATTAATATCATTTTATTGCCTGGTCAGAAATCGAATATCAACAAAAATTTGCATCGCTCACTCGTGTTGATATTTGATATCAACTCGTCGGTAACTTTGGCATCACTCAAAATGTTCTAATATTCTGTTAATATAATAGTAGTAGACGTACGATCTTCCAATCATTATCACATTTGGCCTAAGACCGGTGTAAAAGAAATTACTGTCCCATGGGGATTTAGGTCTGTAGGACCATCTACTCTAGGAACCACGTTCCACGGTTCCTAGGGTAGGTGGTCCTAGTCGGACCATAATTTAATAGGGTGGCTCAAAATAATTTTTTTTTGGAAATGTTATGCTCCCTACATGAATCGAGTTGCATTTTGGGGTAAATATCACCTGTGATTTTTTTCAAATTTTTTAGTCAACTTTTAGGGGTCCCCCACAGCCTTTGAAGTTTGCCCATAGGCTTAACATTAGTGGGCGTCGCCCAAAATCGTTCTTTGTAGAAGCTTTTTTTCTAGTGATTTATTTATGTTGTTTGAAGAAAAACAACATTGTATATGATATGATTATAGATGTTTAAATCATCATAGTACTCTGTTTCATCATGTGAACTTATATAAAAGGCTATACTTACAATATCCTATTAACAAAATATCAGGTACATTCGACCAGTATAATTATTTGAACAAGTACCGTTTTGGAGAAACATGTCTCATATATGATTTGGTATTGTCATTATAATGGTTTAAACTGTAAAAGGTATATTCATTCTTGACATTTAATGTTTTGAACATGGTTCAGATCAGTTTTTATTATATGTGACACTCTTCCTCTATGATCTGAGCGTACAACACATACATTGTCACGATGCACCGCGTCACAGGTCATTGGAGAGCATTCCTGTACCAGCTTCACTGCTTGTTCATGCAGCTGGATCATTATTAACAGAATGCAGGTCTTGACAAAAATTCTGGGTTTGAACATAAGTTGGATAAGTATGCCATGCAACTGGATTCTCTTGAAGCCATATAATTGGATCTGATTCCAGGAGGTGAAATAAGAGCCATTAGATCTCTCAGTTACAAACATTGCTAGTGATGGTTAACATTGCCTAAGTGAGCAGCAACTGGGTTGAAGTCAGGCTGTCCTGGTTTGCCAGTTGCAAATTGTACAGGCCGTGGGATGTTGAGCAGTGCTGTAGCAAGCTCCTGCTTCTCCTCTCTTGCAGTGTATTTGTCGAATAGGGACAAAACAACTAATTCAGGGCAGAGGTTAACCATAGATGGCTTCTTACACTGCGAAGAGCTGCGTTTTCTATGTCAAGGTCTACTGGCGATAGAATTTCTGTCAAGACCTGCATTCTGTTAATGATCCAGCTGAATGAGCAGTGAAGCTGGTACAGGAATGCTCTCCAATGACCTGTGACGCGGTGCATCGTGACAATGGAGAGGTTAAGCTAACGATGTTTTTCACAACGTAACCGTGAACGCAAAGTACGAAAATTAACAAAGGAATGTATCGAGCGCTCATAGTTTTA